CACATGAAATGCCACAAGCTCTATATTATTGTCTATATCTGAAATCCGGAACATGAGCAAAGACTAAGAGTACAGCGAGCTCAAGCGGCGAGAATAACAAAGGACATGGCCAGTGTAGAACATGCCAGTTGCGAAGAGTGAACTTACGTTGTATTTCTCGCTGGCTGAGCGGAGCGAGGTAGGCGAGAAATGATTTCTCGCACAACTTTTTTGGTTGTGATTATGGCATCTGGAATGTTCTTTACCGTTGTTTCTTTTCCTGACTTCTTCAGTCACTTTTGAGTCTCACCAGTGTCCCTGTCCTCCCACCCTTCATTTTTGTGCATCTTATTATTGCTTTTTATAATTTTTTTGCTGTTCTGTGCTTGCCATGCCTTCCTGATGCCAAATCGCCATTGGGGATATACGCCCGTTTTTCCCTCACTACTACGTCCGTCGGCGTGAGGGTGTTTCCCCGGCTGAGTCGACCCAGAAAAAATCTGACGGTCCCAAGTGGTTCTGCATCATGGCCTATTTCTGCTATCCGCTTGTACACCTATTCCATTTGAGACACTCTGTTCTCAGTCCTTGCTTCCGTACCTCACTCGTTATCCGGTTCACATCTGGCTGCAGCCAACTACCCTTCACTTTGTGCGTTGTCGCCACATTGCTGTCTATTTCTCTGTGTGTCCCAGTATGTGTTGAGCGAGAAACCCAGCTCCTTGCAGGTATAATGCGGAAGTGTTTTCAGTATAATTATCATAGAGGAGAGGTGCAGATGCATGTCTGCATGCGTGCAGGCTAGTATGTATGCGTGCGTGCACAGTGAAACAATAAGCAGAGTCTGGGAAGAGTGTGAGCACCTGTTACACCACCTGCTAGCCAGTATTAATAACACTGATGCACATTTAATTATCGATGAAAGTAAAGTGAGTGCACCCGTACCACGAGAACAATGGAATAACACCTCAAGATTTGAACGTCGTTTTCATGTGATGATCAATAAAAATTGTCATCACACTGCCGTTGATCATGCAGTGCTTGTGAGTACTCATAAATCTGCTACATTCAAGCATTTGGTGTCCAACCCCCAGTGTTTGCAATTGTATGATGATTCGTGCTTCAGTGTGGTGTGCTATAAAAAATATTAACCCGACTGCTGCATGGACGATAAGTGCTGCGAATAGTGATCATGCACCCTGGCCTGAGTAGCTCGCTTGGCTAATTGAAAGTCTGCCGACCTCGGCCACATTATGTTGCTAATACATGCACAACCCCAGTCACAGCGCACAAGTAGTTGGTTGAGTTTGGCCGTCAGGAGGCCAGCGCAAGGTATCCGGGGCGCGGGTCTGATTCCAGCGAGGGGCAATGTGGTACCCCGCAGCGCAAGGGTAGCGTGATACCCTAAGCCAACGTGCGTGCTGCATGAGTAGCGTGATACTCGCCGAGCGCTTTTGCTGTTGCCTAGCAACGCGTTTCTGTCTTTCCTAGGCCCCCAAATGCATGTTGGGTGGCCCTGCGCATGACTGCACGTTGTCATAGCAACCTTGGAAATCTCAAGCCGGTTACCAAAAAGCTAGGAATCAGACCAAGCCGCCGAATGCCCCCGCCGGCCCCCGGCGCTTCATTGCAATTGAATTAATATTTTGTCCAGAATAGTGAGCTAGGACAGATCAAATACAATGTAGCTTGGAGTACCATCATGCTGAGTGGCACTCATTGTGAGACGTAGGATAGTGTAGAGCGATAATAAATACCAGGAGGCGTGGGTGGGAGGGAGAAATTGCAAAACAGTTGGATGCACGCGGCAGCACAGCTAGCAAGAGAAAGAGCCGTGGATGGGTTTGTTCCTGTTTTTGATGGCTGTGGCCATCCGTTCGCCCAACGCTCGTGTGAGTACGGCGTTTGTTTGTGCTGCCAGCTCGCGTCCGGCGTTTGTTTGTGCTGCCAGCTCGGGCCCGGTGCGCGAGTGAAACCGAACCGTGACAAAGGCTTTCGCTCTTTAGTGCTATTGACTGGCTTTTCAAACGATGCCTATTGATGTCTAGAGACATGCTGTCTAGCCTTCCCCTGGTACGCATTCACGGGGCTTTGTTGAAGTTCGTGCCGTGAACTGCCCAAAGGGAATTGTTTGAATGGTGCTGGGGCGAGTGCGACATTACGGCGTCCCTGCAGCCGGCCTAATCGCGTTTGTTGCCACAACCGATTATATATTTCACGGTTCGCGTCAGACTCGGCTGGAAGCCGAGTTTTCCGCATCAGCCGTGGGAACGCCACCACCCTCTAGAATCGAGGCTGGTGTGCTATGCTGGTAGTTTTTGTCTACTCTCCGAATTAGAAGTCATGTTTAGTCGTACTCGTAGTCCAGATTTATGCAACACAAAAATAATTTGTTACAGCACTCAAACTCTTCACTTAACATGCCAACACGCGCATAACCACTCACATACATATACCTTTCTCACATGCATTTCTTCAATCTAGACTTGCTTTCACACTGCTCGTTGCTCATGTAATCACGCTTTCAACATTGCTAGTGTCATGGCTGCGTGTTGCGGGTTTGTGACCTGGCTTAGATCAGTCTAGTGGCTACCCAGGCAGACGACCAATATAGTCGCCATCCAAGTTAGCTAGCTCATTCTTTGCGGTGCGAAATGCACGTTCCGCTTCGCCATTCGACTGAGGATACCGTGGACTGCGTTGCTGCAGATGTGTAGCCACCATGCGGTGTGCTCTTCAGCGTAGATCGACCACCACGGTGCGACTGGACAGCTGAGGTCGAGGCATCATCATCTGAAATCGAGCTGGCGGCGGCCAAGCCACTGCGCGATTGGGCTGCAACCTGTTGCTGGACAATTTCGGCGTGCCGTGCGAACGCAACAACTTTGGCGAGAGTTTGCTCGCTCTTGTCTTTCATCTGCAGCTCGCGACTTACCCGCTTGTCCTGCATGTGGGCGACGAAGCGGTCTCTGATACGGTCATCCTTTGTGTCGGCAAACTCACAACATTCCGCAGCTTTGTAAAGAGCACGTACAAACTCCTCTACTGTTTGGACGGGTTGTTGGACAAGCTGTTCGAACTTGGCCCGATCGTGAACGACATTGGTAGAGGGGCGGAAGTAGGTGTCAAAAGCTTTGATGACCTCTTCGTACTTCTTTTTATCGTTCTCGGATAGTTCGAGTTGGTATTCGAACAAGGAGTAGGCGTTGGGTCCGAGAGCATATAACAAAATGGCCACCTGAGTTTTTCCAGGGTCTGATCTCAATTTGGTTGCGGCACGAAAACGGGTAAAATGCAATTTCCACGCGGGCCACTGGTCCGGTGAGCTGAAGTCGAAAGGCGCTGGAGGGTTGAAACGAGCCGTCACCGGTCACGAGACCAAAGACTACAGGAAAACCAATTCTGACACCATGTAGTGGTTCTACAAACGCACTAAAGACATCTTGTAACTAGCTTCGTTTACAACAAATCACAAGTGTCTGGGAATACAGCGAACGACAGAGGCTGTGTTTACATGAGAGGTTTCAACCCGGGTCAGCTTTCAACCCGCCTTGTACACAAAATGAATGGTGCGTTTACATGACGCATTGCACTTGACCCGGGTTGAAAATTTCGCCCCGGGTTGAAGTGAGCCTGGGGAAGGGTTGAAATCAACCCGGGGCGAGAAATCGTACTAACGTACTTCGGTGCGTATCTCGCGCCAGGTTTGAACAGCACTGCATATGCAAATTTGCCCCACTACGACAGTTTCGTCTAGAGACCGTCTCGTTTCCGGACATGGGCAAGGTACAAAAGTGGACTAAAACATGCATTGAAATTAGGTACAAGAATGAGGGATCACGTTGCTTCTCACAACAACAAAAACATTGCAACCCAAACAACTATGTTCGCACTCCGATCAAATTTACCATGTAATGTAATGTAAGCCAATCAACTGGTGACCAGCAACTTGCTGAGTCCATCTAAAGAATTGTCCAATGAAAGCCATTGCGTACACCATCTTCATGGCCAGGAGCAGCAAGGGCATATCCTAATATTTGAGGTAAACTACCACCGTGGTCTGCTACAACACAGCGCCAACACGTAGTCTTGAATAAACTATCCAAAAACATTTGGGGAAAAGTTCAAATTTTGAACTCTCCAATGGCCATACTCTCGCGGAATCCAACCTCGCGGCAGGAAAGCACATGCGGAGCGCAGCCACTTGCCTTTTTTCTAAGCTACCAGCACAGAAACACGATGAGTGCAATAACTGCCCTAGCGAACCTTCAATGAAGCCGCCACAAAGCGCCACTTGCTGAACAACTGAGTGCAACATGACAAAAATGAGACCTGGTTCACAACAACAAATGAGCAAGGACTGCAACAGTCGCACCAGATCTCCCAGGAAGTTCTTGGGCACATACAGGCAAAATGTACATCCAAAATCTCACAAAACCATTTTGATTGCAGTATAACCGGTTAAGGCCACCACTTGTTCCTGAGGACCAATGGCCCTGGGACCAATGTAAGTTATCTCCAGTCAACTGAACCAGGATAAGGATACCACCTCACCACCGGGACCACATTTAGAGGGTCCCTTGAGCAGTCGCCTTAGACAGGTTTCACTGTATCACCCCCCCCCCCCCACACCCACCCAACTAGTATGGATTTAGATACAAACCGCACATAAAAGGAAAACTTGTTTGGCCATTTCCGAAAATGGTAAAATGGATCCATTGTATGTCACTTTTAAATCTAAACTCTCAGTCACATGTATCATACCAAAATTGCAGGTTAAACTCATAAGCATTGCTTCCAGGACAGAGGCTAGGAACAGGGAGGAGTATCTAGGGATCAGTTTCAAAAACATAAGGTGGTGCAGATACCGCAGACGTACGTTTTGTGTGATCGTAAGTAGGAGAATGTGATAAGGACAAGGGTTAGAAAGATGACATGAATATTTTGTTACATGCATACTGGTGAATGATATCAACATGTTGCTATTTGAAGAAGTATTCTATTGCTTTCTTTGCTTACAGCCCGACAATGTCCCACTCCAGGAAAACCACCATCTGGACTGTATTTTGTATACCGGCAAAGGAACTATGTCCAGAGAGGTCCTTTCCAATATGGTGACACTGTTAGATGGTTTTGCAGTAGAGGATTCACAGGGAATACCGATGCTGTATGCCAGGCAAATAGTACATGGAGCAAGAACACACCAACCTGTACACGTACGTACTTCCAGGAATTGACTGGAACCTACTACCGCTATGTGCTTTGTTTCTACCCATAACTTATACTTCCTCCGTTAACAAAAACTTCGTGATGGATTGAGGGGCTGGTTTGCGCACAAACTGCCGTGAAATGAGTCGCAATCACTTTCTTGGCCTTCCCTGGCGGGCCATGAAAGAGGTACGATTCAAGGAAAGCGGCCTTTCACAACAAGCCGAGCGGAATCGATGGTTGCGCTGTGGAAACATAGGTGATGACAGTTATGGCAAGCGAAACTGAAATACCACTTCTCCGAGGGGATATTGCGTTGCTAAGCCTCTCTACTACTCTAGCACTGAGTAAGTTGGAGAGTGATAAAGAACGATCAAATGGAGCAGCGAGTCCACACAATGAGAGAGTGAACAAGGAGCTGCTCCGATCCGGCGCACGGCTCAATGAAAATAATTCTGATCTCAAGTTCTTGTTCAACCTGCGCAAAGCCCAGATTCGAATGCTGATGACCATGTATTCTTTCAGAAGTCTGCAGTCCGATGCAAGTCTCGTGGCTAAAGAAAGTCAACTGGACTTGCTAGCCGCTGCCGTTCAGTGCTGGCAGGGGTATCCATCAGAGAAAATTGAATCAGTTTGGCTGTGCCTTTACTCCTCGTTTCGCGGAGTTCTGGAGAGCGAAGATGAAACCAGGGAGTCGTAAAATATTTTTACAACTCCCTGGTGGAAACGAGGAATCGCCATCGCGGCGGATCACGCAGCTTGAAAGCCAACTTACTTGAACGACGGCGACATCAAGGTCAGCGGAGTGTGATCAAAGAAGCCGAGGCAAGGCTGAAACGAGCTGAACAATGATTCGAGAGAGATGACGACTCGCGTGCAGCAGATGACGACAGCGACGCAGGGTCAAAAATGAGTCGAGCGAAAGCGACGCAAACTGAACTCTCTGCTCATTCCGCCAACAGTTTCTCTTGTAAAGACGCTGTACATAGGCTGAATCACCTTCATCCAGTGATTTGCAGTCGATACAAACTGTTCTTGACCTGTTCTAAGCGTTTTCATATCCATCAAAATCCATCACGAAGTTTTTGCTAACGGAGGAAGTAACAGTTTCATACTTACCTGCAACATATTTACCTTTTTCACGCTGCGCAGACTCCACCGCAACAAATTCAGTCTCGGGACTGCATTTGCATTGCATAAAATCAAAATCTATATGTAGGACTCAGTGAGAAGTCACGTCTCGATGACCGATCACGATCCCCGTGACCAATCAAACAGTCACAAATCCCCGAAGAGCAGTCATAAAGTCACACACCAGTTTGAATCCCGATGACCAGTCACAAACAGCCGCGACTTTCTCTGTGAACGGTCACAGGGTCGACGTCAAAATATTACGACTCGACTGTAGGCATTCACGCGATCAGCATACTTTTTTCCTTCACAGACACAGCTACAGGTTTCCGAAGTGAGCAAGAAAGATTTCGATCAACTCTCGATCTCCGCGTAGTTTACTTGTAGCTCGAGTCTGGTGTGTGTGGGCTCCTCTCCAAAACGAAGGGTGGTCGAAAATCTTGCAGGCTTCAGATAGAATCTCTTTTGAGAGGACGTTCTGGCTAGTAGATTGTGCTATTCATCATATTAATTTTGAAGAACAAACTTCGTCGTTCAGAAAAGCTATTTCGGAATATTTTCAGTCAAGTAATTTTTGCATGCCGATCTTGCTAGAACGGAGACTGATTTCAACTGATCCAGCATACAAGCAGCACTCGCTTTGTGTTTTTGGAGAGGATGGGTGACAAGATTACGGAGTCAGAAGTGGACATCGTCGACGATGCAGAGACGAAAATATAATGAAGATGGAAAAGAAAATATGTTCATCTCCAAGAAGGTACTGAGTACACCAAGCACCTTCGTGTGTGTAGCTCTGTCTTTCTTGTGGAAGACTCCACAGAAAAACAATGTCCAGCTTGTTGAAACTGAAACTGCCTCTCAGTTGAAGTCGTTCAGGGAAGACATCTATTCAAGACATCATTGATCCATTGTCAAGAACCATCGTAAGAAATTAAATCAAGTCATGTTAGCGATAAGAATGGCGAACTAGACCGGAGAAGTGTGAGTGTCTTGTTTTGACTGCAGGAAACTGTATTTCAATATTGTGGCTCAATGTAGTGCTTACGCAGTTTACTGCTTCGAACACATCTTCATCCCTACTCCCAAAATAACTCTGTAAAATTTATTGATGTAACATTATGGTACATGTACATGGTCTTTCTCGTTGTGCTGCTATAACATGCATTATAAGTACATGCATACGAGTACTGTGTACCGTTTACTGTCTCCTTGTCAGTGTTTTTGGGCGATCCTCCACACCTTCATTTGTCCATTACGTACTATTTTCCTTCTACTTATTAATTTTATAGAAATATTCACTCACTACAACTTCTTGTGATTGCTGGTGCGAATGTACCCTGCAATGCCTGCTTGTTAGTGAGAGTGCACCAGACATGTATCGATATGTATGTCTGACGAGATGTTTTTGAACTGGCATATCAGTATCACCAAGAGTACGGTTCTTCCGTCTACGCATCTCTTCTTGGCTTGTGGATTGTTTGAAAAGAGATAAAATAATGATACAGAAACTTGTGTCCAAGTGTCGTCATGAAAACAAGTTCTACCTCCGTAACTTTGTCCGCAAGGTCACGTGAATCTAGCTGGTAGTCCCGCTGCCAATTTGTGTGTGTGTGTGTGAGTAAGTGTGCGCGCGCATGTGTGAGTGTGTGTGCTTGTGTGCATGCGTGAGAAAGAGAGTGCGTGTGTGTGTGTGAGAGGGAGAGAGAGAATGTGTGTGTGTGTGTGTGTGTGTGTGTGTGTGTGTGCGCATGTGTGTGTGTGTGTGTGTGTGTGTGTGTAATGGTGTGGGCATGTGTGGATTTGGCATTTAAGTCCCCAGCTCTATTCTATATCATTCACGCTGGAACTGCTGCTGCATAGCTCCAAGTCTGAAGACTTGGCAACTTCACGCCTGCACCTGACTCTTGCGCTATGATACACGTCGCCTATGATACCCCTCAGAATTTCCCACCTTACTCCCCCTTATGTTCAGGCTGCCCGTTTTGGAGCCATCAGTTGCCTGACGGCGATCGTAGTAATACGTGAAACTCAGAGTTGTGACAAAGCTTCCAATCTCTCTTGTAATACAGAAATACCTATATTCTGCCTGTGACTACTCACAGAGAAAGAGTGGCCGTATCTGTACATTCCGCATATAACTGTTAGCTTGGAATTATAGTGGTCACAACTGTATTCTGTGACCGCTCAAAGGGAATTATAGTTTCCACAACAAATCCTGCAGTACGAAGCACTCCGCGAGCAGTCACGAACTGTGTGCTTTACACATGTACATGTGTGGTGATTTGTGACTGGTCATGGGGCATTGTGACTGGTAAACTAATTTGTGACTGGTCATGGGGAGTTTGTGACTGTTTGACTGGTCACGGGGACCGTGATTGGTCATGGGGCCTTGACTGGTCACTGAGTCCTACATATAATTATTCTTAACAGTAGTTTGGAGGCGGTGGGAAAAACAGTTTCGTAATACGTATTCGCATTCAACGACGCAAATCCACACAATTCAGTAGACACTTTTTCTATCAAACGTTTTCTTTCCCTTCTCTTCAGGATAGTACAGGGAATGTTGGAAATTTGAAAAACACATAACTATATAGAGAATGAAAGAAAGAAAAAGTCAACACTTCAACATAGGTGTTAAAATGATTAAAGTGTTAAAAACTAAAAAAAAAACAGCTGCAAGTTGTAGACAAACACGTTGAACACATCAGGGAACACTTGTCACACTTTCACGAGGTGTGACACCAAACAACTGCAACGATAACACATTCTCCTTCTGTACACATAGTTCTGGATCTAGTTTACGAATATACAGAGCACTTTAATCATTTTAACACCTATGTTGAAGTGTTGACTTTTTCTTTCTTTCATTCTCTATATAGTTATGTGTTTTTTCTAATTTCCAACATTCCCTGTACTATCCTGAAGAGAAGGGAAAGAAAACGTTTGATAGAAAAAGTGTCTACTGAATTGTGTGGATTTGCGTCGTTGCATGCGAATACGTATTACGAAACTATAATTCTTATTCAATATTTCAGTAAAGAGAAAGAACCAATAAGTTACAAGTTATGAGTTATGACTAACAGTCCACCAAGGTAATGAGATATTATACAGTCAGATAGTGCGACAACAAGGCACAAAACTGACAAGGATATTGAGACATTCAGCGACCTTACACATTCGTGGCGCATCCCTTCCCGTCATTGGGGATTTTCTGCATCTGAGCCTTCCAAGTGGGAAGATTGTTGGTTTGCGCTTCGTAGATGTGTTGGAGTAGGGTTGTTGAATGTCACAATATGCCTATCAGTTTTGAGACATCATGGGAAAATCTCTGCTCTAGTGGAAACTCAAATGAAACTGCAATGAAGCATCACTTGCTGAACAACAGCACATGACGAGAGAGACAAACTGGTCCACAACAACAAATCAGCAAGGACTGCAACAGTAGCGCAGGATGACCCAGAAGGTTCTTGTGTACTGGACAGCTACTACTGACACACGAGTGCAATATGTATGCCACACTTGCGAGAGAAAATCAAAATTTCTCTCAAGTTGCTATGAGCACACATACTTCGTGTGCATGTGCGGCTACATCATGCACTTTCGGGTCCCGGAGGGCCGTGGCCGGCCGTGCGCGTGCCCTGAAGAGATCTTTTTTTCTTTCGATTATTGATTTTTCAACTGCAATAAAAAACTTTGAATAAGTCCCTAAAGAGGAAGTTAAGGCAAAAATCAAAATTTCACCAGTTGTAGTCTTTGGGGTGCTGAGTCGAATGGTCTTGGTCCGAGAAAGCTGAGACGCTCCCTTCCTACTTGAATCCCAATCGAACTCGCGCACTTCCACCGAAACTGGGTGACTGCGCCCTACTAGATGGGGATT